TACGACTATCCCTCTTGATGGACAAGGAACGGTTAATGCAGAATGGTATGCTAGCATTTGTTTGCCACAGGTCGTTTCTGAACTCCGTAAAGAGAACTGCAACCGCCGCATCATCCTCCATCACGACAATGCGAGTTCTCACACCGCACACAGAACAAAAGAGTTTTTAGAGCAAGAAAACATAGAATTATTAGACCATCCGCCGTACAGCCGCGACCTATGCTCTACTAATTTCTATACTTTCCCTAAAATAAAGAATAAATTGCATGTACAGAGATTTTCATCACCTGAAGAAGCTGTGGACGCCTACAAAACGGCCATTTTGGAGACCCCAACTTCCGAATGGAATGGTTGCTTCAATTATTGGTTCCATCGTATGGAAAAATGTGTCAAATTTCGCGAAGAATACTTCGAAAAGCAATTAATACATTTCTAAATAGTAATGTTGTGTCACTTCCTTGATTCCCGAAATTTTCAGTGCCGCCCTCGTAATGCAATGATAGGAAAATTTTGTTATTTTTACAAACAGTGGCGTAGCAAGGGTAGCTGCCGCCTGGGGCCTCTAAACATAAATGCCGGCCCTACCCGTTTTCGCAAGTATCTTAAAAACATGAATACGGTAATATTGTTCTGTATTATATGTATAGTCTATGTATATTATTTGAAAATGAGTAATAACAATATTTTGTGGGTTTTTATTTTTATCAACTACAACTAAGGTACGTGAGGGTAATATGGTCACCTTCACTTTTCTACGCTATTAAACCGTATCTAGAAGTAGGACAGAGACAAAAACACAAAACCGTATACCATACCTAATATATTAAGAAAATAATAGCAAACAAGCTTCAGCAATAATTAAGAAATCTTTGAAAAATCAACTTACATATACTAACTACAATATAATACACAATACTAAAATCAATGTCAACCGTAATGTCAACTGTCAAAATGACAGTTAACATTATAAAGCGTCCTTTAGACCCTTTATTATTTGATTGACCGATAAAGTGACTTATCACAAAGCCATATGAGCAAACAAGACTGTAGTTTTTGTATTATAATCATTATCATTACAAGCCTTCACAGGTCCACTGCTGAACATAGGCCTCCCCCAAGGTATGCCACAAAGCACGGTCCTGAGCCACCTGCATCCATCGACTTCCTGCATGTCTTACCAGGTCGTCACTCCATCTAGTGGGGGGTCGCCCTACACTTCGCCTACCGGTACGAGGCTGCCACTCGAGAAGCTTTTTCCCCAACGGTGGTCGTTCTTCTATTCTGTCGGTTCTTCAGCTATATGGCCGGCCCATTGCCACTTCAGCTTTCTAATCCGTTGGGCTATGTCAGTCACTCTAGTTCTACTGCAGATATCCTCATTTCTAAGTTTATCACGCAGAGAAACTCCGAGCATAGCCCTCTCCATAGCTCGCTGAGCGACTTTAAGCGTTCTCATACGGCCAGCAGTGAAGGACCACGTCTCGGTTCCGTAGTTCATCACTGGCGACAGGCACTGGTTGTACAACTTAGTTTTCAGGTTTTGAGTTATACCTGACGAGAAGATGTGTCGTAATTTCCCGATCGCTGCCCAGCCGAGTTGAATCCGTCGATTGACCTCTCGGTCGAAGTTGGACTTACTTTACATCGTAGCCCTACTCTACGAGCACTTCAGCACTTCAGTTGATGTGTAAATACCGACAGTCAACTTGGAACCGCTGAAGAGACTGTAGCACCGCCCAAATTTCGACGGAATCAAAGGGTTTCTCATAGTCTACATACGCCAGGCAAAGTGGCAGATTGCCGAAGGGTAAGTATGTGGTCTACGGTACTAAAGCCTTTTCGGAAACCAGTTTGTTCGGGAGGCTGGAAGTCGTCGAGTTTGCGTGCGAGACGATTCGTAATCACTCTCGAAAACAGCACGTAGACGCGACTCAGAATGGATATCGGTCTGTTGTTCTTCAAAAGGGCGTTGTCACCTTTCTTGAAGAACAAGGCCACCGCAATTAGTATTATAAGAAAATGACCATATTAATAGGACATTTATAATGAGATGTTTGACTTTCCAATGTCATAGTTAGCCCGGCTAACTTCAGTTTTCGAATATTTACAGGTGACCATAGTACCCTCACGTACTATATTTATAATAAAGTTTTAAGGTGAACTCTGTGCTCGTTGGTCACCCTTATTCTATAAAAAGGTAATTTTATTTTCAATAATATCAGGTTTTTACTCTCACAACATCTGCATTTCCTATTCTGAAGCGCACCCAACTGCGAACAACCTGTAAACACCGCCAGTGCGTCGTATCTAATGGATCAACTCATTTGTTACATTGCTACGGTGAGTACGGAAATTTAAATTATTAAGTTCATTGTAATACTTTTCAGTATATAACCAATGAAACAGTAAGAATATTTGAAGGTACGTACTCGACATTTGTTATATTTCATGGCGGTTGAGATTGATTGGAAGGGAATGACAAAAGCTAAAAGGTCTGAAGTCCACCCTTTGTAAGTCTTTTAAAGTAAATATTAGTAACTCGTTATTATTATTATTATTTATAGGAGGCTGTAGAAAATTAAGTAGTATTACTACACGAAAATCGCCAAGTATGTAACGAGGCGCCGAGTCAGCAGGCGCCAACAACCCGACGCCCGTGCAAGTTAGCATCGGATTTCGTCATTCTTCGGTCACACTTCGATCAAGCTAATCATTTTAATTTAGTTATAGAATTATTGTAATCTTTCTTTTATAAATTTATTTAAGAATTGTTTTTTTTAGATCCCGCGGCTGCAGCTAAAGTAATTAGCCTATAAATATCTACATCATGATATGTTGTCACCCCTGAGGTTTACAATGTTATGTATATAGTTATTAGTAAAACAAGATCTTTGACTCTTTTCATTGACTATACTGAACACAGTAGGGTTTCTGTGCGTTTCAGAGTATTTCTTCTCCGATCTGAATAACCTAGTATCTATAATATGCTTTAGCTTAGCTTTACCACGTATTATAAATGATTTTTCGGCTTTTTTTTTTCATAGAATTATGGTGACAAACGAACTCACAGTCCACCTAATGGTAAGTATATGTTATGGCTCATAGACCTACATCTATTTTCGATTAAAAATCGAAATCTGGATGCAGTTTTCTGCACTCACCATACGCATCACAATAGCTGTTATTGGTGTCCTATGAGAGCGTGGTCCTTCCTCGGTCGAATGGATTGGCCATTAGTGTTGCAACCATAATTTAGCTGCAACCTTGTGAACCAAAATATAAAGTATCAAATTCGGTAGCAAATATCAAGTCGCTGGTTTGCGAGAATAGCGACGGAACTAAAAATGATTGATTTTATAGAATGGCATTTTTTAATTTCTTTGTAAATATTTTAGTGCATACCGCAAAATGTAAATGATTTATTGAGGGATTGACTTTACTGATTAAAGGAAAATTTATCGTAGTATCAAAAAACATAAAAAAAATTTAGAACTTTTATTAAAATTATTTAAAAATCGTCATAAAAAAGGCGGTTTTCTGACATCAGTCTTTATTCATGAGACTCCAAATTATAAAAATCAACTTATGTCATTTATTTAGCTTTAAAGCCTCTTAAAAAATACAAATTAAAACTTAAAACAGTGTTTAAAACTTTTGTACTTATAAGTATAACAACTAAAAATAGTTTTATAACATACAATAGTAACTTTAAATATAGGTATTAAAATAAATGAAATCAAAATAAATGTGAATTGTTCAAAATCAGCAATGAAATAAAATATAAAACAGGAACATTAATTCTTCAAAGGAAATCTAAGTAAATTAGATCATTTAATTTACAACCCCTCATAAAATTGTCGATAATAGCTTGGAATTATATTTTTGTTAACTAAATCTACTAGTCCTCTCTTCTTATTTTCTTAGATTCCGTTCCTTTTTTATAAGCAGATTGCAAACTGTAATTTTCTTCCAAAAATTTTGATGCACGGCTAGTAACTTTCACACATTTAAATTCATTTTCACCGTAAGATGTTTTATAGAAAATGAACCCTTTGTGGTCAGCATCTACTTTTAAAATCTTTATATCTGCCATTTTCACACTCTCATTATCAGTATTTTTATTAAAATTTCTACCCACGTCAGAAGCTAGCGACTTTAATTCGTAAAAACTTCTATGATCCATTTCTACGACTTTGTAAGGAGGTCCTTTCTTTTTTGCAGTGCGAATAATTGAAATGTACTGATCCGGTGTATAGACAGGGCCCGATTTCAAAGTCTTTTTGATATTTCTTTCAATGAAAGAATGCACACTGTCACCTTCATTTTGTGTGTGCCCTTTTATCAAAAAAATTATGCGTGATACTATTAATATGAGCACAGTAGAAACAGCGATACATACTGATAATAAATTTATTCTTTTGCTGTCCGCAGCAGTTGTCAGAATAAAAAATTATATCTAGTTTGGCTTCAGTTGTTAGATCTCTGCCAAGATTTTTTAAATATTCTAAAACACAGGTCCCTATTTTTATAGCTCCTCTATTTACTTCTCCTTCATGCCACACGTGGCAGAACGCATTTTTATTTTTCATCTCATAGATTGTAAAGTTTAGGGTATTCACTTTTGAAACATAGTAAAAATTAGATACATCTACCCTAGGACATGGCATCACAGCTTGTAAGTCATAAACTGCTACAATAGTTGATTCTTTATCTTCTGCTTCTTTCTTGTCCTTAACCTTCTCCATCCTTGAAAGCTCTTTTTCTTTTAGATGGTTCTCATATTTAGACTTCAGTCGATTTTTATCTTCTCCATTTGCTTTATTGTAGGCAACACAATCCTCACACTGATCCTTCTTAGGTTGGTAAAATGATATATTAAATTCTCCATTGAATATTCTATTAAACATGATATAGTTAGCACTTTTCTCTCTTTTTTCTTCACAGTGTTTCACATAATCTCTAATTTCTGCAATAGTCTTACTTCCATCAATATATTCTTTCTACATATCTGCTCGACAGTAATGGCTTTCTATTGTTGGTATCGCCTTAATGAAATTTCTCAAACTATCTTTAATATTATCATCTACGCGACTGTGATTGCCATGTTTCCCTTGAAGATCCTCCACTATAATGCCTGAAACGTCACTTCTTGATTTTTCGGTAACTGTTCGAATAAATCTACCAGATAAATCTAGCGTAGACATAAAAAAACTCTTACAAACTAGAATTTTTACGCCATCTTTGTCTTTAAAATAAAATGCGTTATTATTTCGACGTGTTCCTTTTTTATATTGATACGACAGGACAATAGAGGACATATTAAATGCTACAAAAGTTCTTTTACTTTGCAAATCAGGTAATTTATAATATGCGTCAAAAATATGGCGTCGAGTCTCATCATCAAACTTTGTGTTACACTTTAACTTGCATTTTTCTGTACATCCTAGTCCTAATCGTCTCTCTCGTATAACTTTATTATTTTTGCCTACATATTCTTTCCCTGCATTTCGTAGACGTTTTGCTACATTCGATTTCCAAAGTTCTGGCTGCATTTTCCTCTTACGTGTAATATTTTGGTTTGATTTACGTGAAATATTTTCTTCTTCATTCTCTTCTACCGTTTCATCCGAATCTGACGATAAATCATTATTTTCAATGTGATAATTAGGATCTGCAATACTATCATCCGATGAAAAATCTCTTTCTTCCTTTCCTTCTTCCCTTTCAGCATTCATATTGGTCAATTCAATAGCTTTTGGTTCACTTTCTATTTGTGAATTACTTTTTACTGCAGTCTCATCTTTCATATTATCATTTACTGACTTTATACTTACCTTATTTTCTTTGGTTTTATTTTCTAAGCTATGGCCATGGAGTCTTTTTTCTTTTAAATTTATGATTTATTGGATTATTTATTACATTCTTCTGTTTCCCTATTGCTGGAGGAAGATGAGCTAGAAGACGAGGAAGATGAGCTAGAAGTTAAAGAAGATGAGCCAGAAGATGATGATGACTATACGGATTCCCACCCAGGACAAAAATGTTTGTGTGATGAGCACGATCATTTGTTCTATGTCTGGGTGTAATTTATCTATAATATTTATGTATTTAGAAGTATATAAGTATGTTTATCAGTTGTCTAGTACCCATAACACAAGCTCTGCTTAGCTTGGGACTAGATGGCGTTGTGTGATAGTTGTGGAATATTATTATATTATATTATTCAAGGAATTTTGGAATAGAAATTTTCTATCCCAAAATTCCTTGAACACAGACGCATTTCGTAATAAGAAGCAAAACCATGCCCACTTTTTTTCAAAAATAACGACATTTCTTATTTACGACAAAATAAAATCCGTTTATTTTTCGTGAATATAGACTCAAGTTACATAAAGTCGGTATAAAATACAATATCATAAGCAATCACCCATTTTTATTCAGGAATACAGGCGTAAATAGAAATGAGACATAAAAAGATACTTACTTTTATCAGGAACAACGACGGATCACTAAATGTGTTACTATTCTTGAAAAAAAATCAACAATTGTTGCAACCAAACTGTAAATACGTCGGTATTTTCGAGAATCGACCGTGCGTTCACTCTGTTGTCACTGGCTCAACTGAGATGAGCCTTTATTTGTGATTACGCTTCGAGTGTTTTGTCTCAAGTGAATAATGACGCTGTCTCTTTCTAACGAAAGCTAGCGCGAAATTGGCGTTGCATCTCTGTTCACGATAAAATATCAAAGATTTATGATTGTTTGGCATACAGAATTCAATTTGACAGAATTTTGAATTACGTCGATATTCTCGCAAACCAACGAAGTATTGCGAAGTGTGGCGCCGCTGCTAACAGACTTTTTTCGTGAAAAAGACTCATCTTTATACCCGAGACTATCAATAAAAAGAAATTTTTTAATAATATCGTTAATGTATAAGTAATGTTAGATAGTATCGTGAAAAAACAATCATTATTACGAAAACACCTTAGATATTATGGATACCTTCTTTTCTAATAAAAAGTTATATACTTGATACTTGTTTCTGAAGAAACAATTGGTATACTTCTCTAAGTATCGACTATGCGTATTTAACATTCACTTTTGAATACTCACCACTAAAATGACAGAAATTGAAGTATCGATCTACTATGATGTACCTCCTTACACACCGTGTTTAAAAATCCAGCCGAGTACGTGTTATGTATGTGCCCGTCATAATACGTAGACTTAGAAGCATAGAGTAGTAATATCTCAATGCTTAGAAGAAGCTTTTTGATAATATGAGCATATTAAATGAGTTCGCGGTTTGAGCGCTATAACGACTAAAAATGGGCTCAAAAAAGAGGATGATAACTGAAAGACTTTTTTCCAAGCAGACTTGTAGGAAGTAGTCATTAAAAATTAGTTAAAATAAAATATATTTTGAAAATAATACATTCTACATCAAAGTCCGTACGAAAATTGTCATAGTTCCCTACCTATCTATTATTACCAGTGTTTTTACAGTGCGACCCTAAGATATACATTTCCCGTATTTACCTAAGATATACATGACCCGTATTTACATAAGATATACATGACCCGTATTTACCTAAGATATACATGACCCGTATTTACCTAAGTTATACATGACCCGTATTTACCTAAGATATACATGACCCGTATTTACCTAAGATATGCGTGACCCGTATTTACCTAAGATATACATGACCCGTATTTACCTAAGATATACATGACCCGTGTTTACCTAAGATATACATGACCCGTATTTACCTAAGATATACATGACCCGTATTTACCTAAGATATACATGACCCGTATTTACCTAAGATACACATGACCCGTATTTACGTAAGATATACATGACCCGTATTTACCTAAGATATACATGACCCGTATTTACCTAAGATATACATGACCCGCATTTTCCTAAGATATACATGACCCGTATTTACCTAAGATATACATGACCCGTATTTACCTAAGATATACATGACCCGTATTTACGTAAGATATACATGACCCGTATTTACCTAAGATATACATGACCCGTATTTACCTAAGATATACATGACCCGTATTTTTACGGATCTATGTGCATTCAATAAATTGGATTGCTATTAACGAGTAATAACTTGTGAAGCCTTAGCCGTGAATGTGTTCCTTTTAATTGCAACATAATATATACTACTTTCATACATACTTTTCATTAGCAAAACCAACGATAACACGAAGTGGGGACACAAAACTCTTTTAAACTCTTAGCATTTTACAGCTTAATATTTCACAATCGGACTCCTGACTCGAAACAAATATTGTTTACCCTATACCCCCTATATTTTTGTGGTGGAAAAGACGGATAAAAAAACATCACCTGTATGGGAGGTACCAAAAAAATATTTTTCAATATTTTTATTCACAACTTTGTACGCGTGGTTAATATCTACAACAATTCGAAATTACAGCTTTGTAGCACCTAGGTGCCGAGAAAAACCATGGACGGAGACGCGGACGGGCAAGGTGAATCTATATGGGCTATTTTTTGTTTAACCACGAAACCCTAAAAATGCTTTTGACCCAATTTAATAACTTCATTACTCATTTTCCTGTCTATTTTAATATATGCTTGTTTTATACCTTAAAATAAACAAAATGAGTATTCCAGTTAAGTGAAATAAAATGTAATTGAATGTGAAACTGACAAGTTTATAAATGTAATTTAATAGTGTTGCATTTAATAAAGTGATGAACTTATTCTCTAAAGCCTTTCGTTCAACATAAATGTGTGTTTTAAAATACGTGCATAAAATTAAAAAAATAGGTAACAGTTTGATGAAAATAGCTGGCAAAAATTTAAATATAAATTCAATATATATTTAAATGTAATATTTTTGCTATGAAAATAAACCTACTCTATTTAATTTGTTAAAAATTATTCAATTTATTTTTAAGTAATATTTTTTTTTGTAATTTTTTAAGCATATGACGCTGTGATGAGCAAATGATATGTTTCAAAACGGGCCAGGTCTATCTACATTATCTAAAAAAAATTTTAATCAATCAAGATTTTAATCAATTATTTTAGGCATCTATCAATATATATCAATATTAATTAACTGTTCTATGATCTAAATTTCAAGCGTTTGGCCTCTGAGTACAATATAATAACTAATCGTACCTTAAGTATTACTATAGTTAGGTAAGATATATGAATGTATATGATAGGAAATTCTTAAGGAATAAAAACTGTTAGTCCCAACTTCACATTTTCTTCATCAACAGCATCAACACGAAAATTTACTTGTCATGGGTTTTTTTATCGATTGCAGGATTTTATTTTATTTAAATAGAATAAAGGTGACAAGTCAGCACACATTCCATGTAATGGTAAGTGGATGCTGTGGCTCATAGACATCTAAGAATCAATTACGCTTGTATTCGTTGATAGCGTGGTCCTTACACGGTCGAGCCCACCAACTCGTGCTGCAACCATAATATAGCTGCAACATGGCTCTACCACGCATCCACCTTAATCGTAACACTGGGCTGTCTGATTGACGAACTACAGACCATAAAAATATGATCTATATTTATTTTGCACACTTAGCAGTATGCATAGACTGTGACATTATACTGATAAAATTTGCAATGTAAAGCTAGAAAAAAAGCTTTATTTCCGCATCTGATATTTGAAACTATTCTCAGTTTATTATAATAAAAAAACTAGGTACTCGGTAACAAATACTCCTAGCCATCAGAAACAATTTTGTAGATCAATTATTAAAGGTAATTGGGGTGTAAGCGTATGCTAAACTTGCTCTCCATATTACGCAATCAATCGTTATCAGAAACAAAATAGCGCACTGCACCGTACTCGTATATTCAGTACAGAACAATAAATACAGTTCGACCAAGTGTAACATGTTCTCGTCACAATCACACACCGGTGTAACGTGAAGAACATTAACACTACCTATCTCAATGTAACACAGGGCAGCCTCTCAGCAACACGATCTTGCTAAACTTCTTAACTTGCCTAAACTATTAAAATACCCTAATGGGCACTGTTACGACAGTAAAACTCGTAAAGTTACCGACTGATCTCTCTTAGTCGTCTGCGCGATAGTTTATACCGCCAGGACAATTGGGAGATTACAATTGTACCCTCAATACTTCTTATTTTATTTCGTTTATATCTGGTTGCGCGGAAAACCATTCGTATTTCATTTTATTCGAAGGTAGGCTTGCCAAGCGTTTTGTCCTTTCCATGATCTATCGTCCCTCCGACACACCGGGGTGGTGGGGTTAGAGGGGAAAGAAGAATAGAATGTCATGTGATTCTCGCAACCAATGAGAAGCGCGCCCCACCGAAACGTATTGAGAGAAGAACCGAAGCAATATAAGTGCGTGCACGGCCCTCGTGCGCCCTCTTCCCTTCGCGCAGCAAATTGGAACCACATCGCCTAGGTCAGTCTGTAACACGAAATACGAACGCGTCCTAGAGGGCTCTTGCCCATGCGCACCGCTAGTTCAAACCGCGCCAACCTGGGGCAGTCGAGCTCCAGGAGTAACCGCCTCACCTAGTGAGATATCGTCGCGCACCGCTCTCTTCCATCGTACCACCGACCAGGACCGCATCCCTGAGGCCCCAGGAGATCCGCCAGAAGTCGCACCGCAGCAATAAAGCGTCCAAGCAGCATCGAAGTAACACCCCGGTAAGTGCGCTTCCTTATTTACGTTCCCTGCTTGGGTATTTGTGTTTTATTAGTTCATCCGCCCCAATTTCATTTCTCCTAATATGATC